GAGCTTCAAATCGAGTTTTGTGTCTCTCTGTCTTTCCTGCCAGGGATTTATTTTTTCCAGTTGGAGGAGCAATTTTCTCTGGAGAGTTTTGGTTTCAAGGGTGCGCGCAGGCAGTTGCTCGTCTCAACGTGATGAGGGTTGAAATTGTTTCCAAGTACATTTTAAGCCTGACGTGCGAAACAAAATTGAGCTTTCTCACGGTGGTACAGGCAAATTTGTGTGACTGAATAATTTTTCCACTTCAAGCAATAAGAAAATCAAATTATAATAGAACGAATCCGATTTGCTTGTTGGGGAAAAATTGGAGAGAAGAGAATGACAAAAAATATTGGAAATCGGACATTGAAAAATGTCTTCTCACATAAAAAAGTAAAAATAAGGTTTAGAAAAAAGAAATTCAGCAGTTGGGAAATCTCTATTTTCTAATTTTGCCAAAGGGTTTTTCTTAGATTATGTAATTTATTATTAAAATAACATTAAAAATGATTAAAAACCAGAATTAATTTTTACATTAAAGATTTAATAGAATATGATGAACTGTTCTTCCAAAAAATTAAATTATAAAATTTATTTTGAGCATTTAATACAGTTCGATTCCAATTTAAAGGATAATTTTTAAATTTCAATTCTACGCTTTTCAGCACGATTGTGTGTTCATATTAATTTCACTTGAAAAAAAATCTTCAGTTTTAAGTTATGAAGTTTATGTTAAATTCCACAAATAATGTAATATATTAACGTTATTTTAATAATAAGATTAATTTAGATAATTATAAAAGAATTTTATATTATTTTAAAAATTTGATCACAAAAAAACTTGTATCATAACATGAAGGTTGCAGAACATTGCAAAATAAATCAAACCAGCGATTTCCATGCCGTTCAGCCGTCTGCGAAATCTTTTGCTGTTAATTTAGTCGCGCCCTTTTGTGTCTATTATCCGCCAGCAGCAAACATCTGACAGCTCCAAGCCGGCTACTATTACTTGTGTGCATGCCTGACTGGTTATTATAATGACTGAGTCGCCAGCATGGCTCGAATGAAGCGAAATAACTCGATCATCTCAAAAGCAAATCAATTATCAAAATCTCAATTTGATCTCTGCGTAAATATTCAAAGGAAACCGGAGCAGATTTTATTATTACAGCAGCGATAATGCAAAAAAGAAAAAATCACGAGATGAGACAAGAGTGAGAGAGATTGAATGGGAATAAGAGATTAATTGGAGGAACGTCCAATCTGGCAATCTCCATCTGGATTGTGTGCGAGATTATAACAAAAAACAGAATTAAAATTGACTCTGCTTTGAATTTAACTCGCACGCGAAGAGAGAAATAAAGCGAAAGAACAGCAGCACATACTTAAGGGCGGCTGCCGAAAAACGCCGCTGAGCGAGCGAGAAAGAGAGAGACCGACCGGGGAGAATAAAAAGGCACATTAGCATCACAATATGTGATCACATATGAAATCTTGTCATAGGAATCCAGTCGCATTTTTCCTCTCGGCTCTCTTTTGTGCCGTTCCTCTCTCTGCTGGCGGCGCGCGGGGCCTCTTTTGTATATATTATATAAATCGCTCCCCCTCTTCCCCCGTTTATTTCCATTAACATCCACATAAAATATCATTTATTCTTGTGAAATTTGAATGAGATGTTTTCATAGCAATTTGTGCAGGAAAAAAACAGCGCCGCCCTAAAGGAGAACCCAAAGCAGTGGTTCCACTCTAATGTCATTATTTTCGAGAATTATCATGACAATGCGCGCGTAATAAAGCGTCTGGCTGAATTAATTCTCCGCGTCTCTCTGCCGGCAGCGCCGTGAATTAAGCAATTAAAGAGCTGGAATTGGTCTCGCGACACTCGTAAAAAACAAATAGCTTTCATGATCGCCGCCCGAAAGAGACTGCGACCATTATTATTTCTACACGTTGCTGGTGCGGAAAAGGGTGTTGCGAGAGCCGAGATTGGTATTGATGCTTTTAGTCTGATTGTGCGTCGCAATGAAGTTGGACCAGAGAGATGAGCAAACAACCGAGTAATCATCTGGATTGCCAAGACTTGAAATCAAAATGTTTCGAAATAAAAATAAATAAATAGCAGAAAACTGTCTTTAACCATAATACGGGTAAAAATAAAGCAAAAATGAGAATTATTTTATTAAAATTGTCTTGTTACTTTCAGAAAAATGGGAAATCATTTCAAAATAAAGAGTATTACCAAATTAAGATTAATTAAAAGATATTCAATAATTTTGATTTCAACTTATAAAAAGTTAAAATTTTTACATGAAAAAAATGAGTTATAAATCAAATCTATTACATTTCTTTGGAAAAAATTAAAAGTGAGTTTTTCTTCTGCTTAGGAATCTTTTAAAATTATATCCATGTCATTCAAACGTTTTGCTATAAATCAGAATTTAAGCCAGAATAACTTCTCAAGGAGTTGCGGACAGCTGCTTGATAGAAATATATGAAGCATATTTTAAATATTCCTTATTTAATTTGTGCAAAGTTTCTTTTCATTGATCATTTGTATTAATTTGTGATTATGCACTTTTTGTATGTGTTTTTATTCCCGACAAAAGGCCAATTCAAAAGGTGTCATTATAGAGGAATTTCGAATTATTGTCCTGCGCACAAAATAATTCCCAAGTCATCCTAAAAAATGCCTAACACTATAATATTTATGACGAGAGGCAGAAAAAATTCTCGCGCATTATGCGGTGGCCGCAACTCTCAAATCCACGGCCCACGCCGGTTGAGCAGGTGAGATTCCAATCTGTTTACGAATTTCTTTCCCTTTTGAGGCGGGAGACCGCTTGCTCGCTCGCGTATTTATAGTGTGTTAGTTGGAAATGTATGAAGCGTCATGCTGTCTAGCGAGGCATCTCTCTCGCAGCATCTCTGACACCCGGTCGGCAGCAGCAGGTAAGGTATGCGCGGCATTCGGGCCTCCGTCAGCATCTTCGGCCCATGGAAAATAATAAAACCAGGCTGTTTTCAAAGCCCGAGGAATTTTTTACACGGCCGCCCCTCGCCCTGCAGCTCACAATAGCGATTCCCATTGATTGAGTTTCGCTTCTTTCCCAGTTCGGGGTGAGTTTTCGGCACAAAGCGCTGCGTAGATGTTTCTTTTTCTCACAATAAACTGGCAGGACGCCCGCCTGGGAACCGAAATTCATTGATGAAATTTCTGTCGGCCCCGCCACCAAAATATATTATTATTGTATAAAAAGTGGAGCTGCTTTTTCCCCCATCCTATACCTGTCTTGCGTGAATGGCACTCAATGAATCGCCGGCGGTTTATTTTACTGTGATGGTACTCGGAGGATTGCATTTTTCTGAGAATGGGCTGAAAAGAGCTCACCTGCACCAAAAAGGGCTTGTGTGCTCGAGTTTTAGCGCCAAAAGAGGCCGATTGATGTCTCAATGTGCAAAGCGAAGTCAACGAACATGCAATCTTAATAATTGGGCATAAGAATTGGAAATCTAACTTGTTTTTATTTTAAAAATAAGGAAAATAGGAGTTCATATTTCTCGTTTCTTATGAATTTTTTATTTGATGTTTATGATTTTTTTACTCGCACACTGTGAGCCAAAGAAATTATATAATACAGTTCATTCAAACAAGGAGGATTAACCGTCTCCAATTTCTTTTTTATCATTTTAGTATCAATACTATATATAACCATGAAATCTTATTAGCCTGTTCAAAGTTAACAAAAAATGTATTATTTGTTATATTCTATAAAAATTAAGATAAATTGTGATTTTTCTACTTGGAACTTGGATAGCAGTTGGCAGCCAAAACCAAAAACACTTAAGATTCTGCTAAATATACTTATGAATTGAATGTTTTAATAAGGGTTCAATTATTAGCTAAAACTAGTCAAAGTTTTAATGTGTAGCAGGAGCTTGTAGAAACCCGGTACAAATTGAGAGAAGCTGGCCAGCCCCATGGGGCTATGGGAGTTTATTTTAATGTATCATTCCCACAGGTGAAGAGGATCAATATTATGAAATCAATAACTCCCCCCTGTTACAATAATGATAATAAACTTATTATTTTAAACCTCACCAGCACTTATACAGTACAAAAATCATATTTGATGTGAAAATTACCTTTGTATTTTCTCGGAGTAGAAAAAATTTCATCTGGCACAGCAAAGCAAAATTAAAATTAACTAAAAATCCACAAAGCATTTGCATCCTGATCTCAAACCAGTTGGTTCTCTCACACGTGATGTAAAATGTTTGAGAGTTAATTGGTTCGAAAGCTTTTCCAAAGATTCCAACATTGCACATTGTCATTTCCTCTCAGCGTCAATAATTAATAAACTAATTAACTCTCCAACAATTCCTCTACGCAGAATTCAAATTAAATAATTACGTAGACGTATAGAAGCACACAATTGATCATTTTTCCACAGGAAAAACATGATTATGAGTTGCTTTTTACTCGACGTCATCCGGCACCAATAATTGTATATATTATTATAATGATGCAGTAAAATCGGAAATGATACACATGATTACATATAATTACCAATATTGCCATAAAGTAAAAATAAAAATTTTTACATATATACTGAAATTTATTTGAAAAAAATAAATATATATTATTTGATACTTTTTAATACTTTATCATGTGCAATTTTCAATAACTTGGAAAATTACATAGAAGACTGAGAAATTAAAAACTCTGATTTTCGCAAAAGCTTGTTCATTTCCGTTCGTAAGTCAACCAATATTATTATAGTGCGCATTGCTGGCGGAAACAAATTATTATTTTCTAGTGATTATTTTCCACTGCTCATTCAAATTTTAGACCATTCGTCTCCATCATGCAGACTATAGTACTGGCTTCATTTGCTACACTTGTAATTGTAATGATATGTTCACTCTTAAGTATTGAATTTCATAAATGCATAAAATAATTTTTCATTTTTAGTTTACAACCCTCTCTGTCTCTATCCCAAACGTTCGATTAGTCTCAGTGTTGCAAAAAAAGCACATCAAAAGAAGTATATCAGAATTTATCGTTTTAATAATATTAATATCCATAAAAAAAACGTGAACTATAATAGTAAAAAATGGACCAGTGAGAAGGGTACTCATAAATAAGTGCTGTGGAAGAAAGTGGTGCAACGTTTCGTATAAAAACAATTTTCAAAACATAAATTCAACGGCCATCAAGAACAATCCAACCTCTCCTGTAAGTGTATTTTATAAATAATTTTATTTGCGTAAATTAAGAAATAATAATAAAAATAATGGAAAATATTATTAGAAAAAAACGGAGAAACTAAATGATTATGCTGCGTCTAAATCGATACACTCAACAGATATAATGGATTATAATTCAATGTAAATTGATAAAACAATGGAAGATTTTTACACTAATATGACATTGATAGTATATCCGGCCCTGCAGAATCTACTGCCAAAGGCACTGACAGATATGTCAGTTTTTCTACGCCTACGCCTCATGTAGTAATCATCGAGGACACAAGACGTTTGCCCACGGTTTATTCACTGACATCTACTGTCTCAGTTTCTGGTGCTGAAACAACTCCTGTTGGGTTAGAACCTACCAACTCACCCTCAACAACTTTGGTAGAATTTCCTTTGGTTTCTACTAGCATTATGAGGGCTGAGAGCGAGTCCACGAAAATCACTGGAATTTCTGTCCCCCCAATGACCAATGAGCTGATGACAACAATGCCAAATGCAAATTTAATACTGGACAATGTGGCGAGCGGCACCACGTCATCAACAAACACAATTACTATTTTTGGTCCTGTTGTGACTGCCACAGCAACTATTTCAACTACAGCGAGCACATCTACAACTCTACAAGTTTCAACAATAATTTCCAGTGCAACAAGCGATCCCACAACTTCAAAAACATTAGATACTACTAGCATTCCTGCCGTAACTACCGTAACAACTGCTTCAACAAGACCGAGTACTACGACAACTATGCGGATAACAACAACTATGTCAGTTGCTGAGAAAACGGTAAGTTTTGGGTCCAGATTTTTTAAAGTTTCAATTTAACCAAAATGCATGCAGGTGCTCCTGAAAGGAATTTGCAATACATCCTATGCGAAAGAGGTATAAAAGCTTAACATTTACTTTCTGATTCTTAAAATGTTTTAAACATTTTTTTCCATTTGCAAAAATCTAGTCTTCAGCATTTTTTCCTGATGGGACATTAAAAAGTTCATAAAGAAAAAATCTCGATTTATGTATCAATTTCAAAACTAATAAATTTAGACGCATCACAGTATGGTTTTTGGGTAGAAGCTTGTGGTCAGCAGTTTTTAATTGGAAGATCATTGGTATTTATTTTTTAAAATTTTTGCTGTTCTTTAAATAGGTGATGCTAAATAGGTGCATTGGACGGAAAATTTTATCAATTGCTATAAAATTGGCATGGAGCCGATATCTCTTGAAAATTACACTAAACAAAGCTGTTTTATTAGGGATCTAAGTGAATATTCTTTATTTTATATAATAAGATCTAAAAGAAAAAAAATGAATAGTTTCCAAATGGAACTACCCTTCAAAAATTTGGACATCGGCTCAACGTGTCAGCTCAACAAGTTTCTCGTGGTGCTCAAAAAACGGATCCCTGGCTGTCACTTTTGCTAATGGTGCAGGTCTTTGGGCAAGTGGGCAGCCAGACAACTTGAATGGAAACCAAAACTGCACACAACTCAGCGCGTTCAAGTCGAATGCCACATTGACACTTTCAGATCAAATGTGCACCGATAAATATTTCCTAGCTTGCCAGGCATGGAACAATAATGTGATTAAGCGTCTTATTAATTTCTGTTTTCTCCAAAGGGCCCCCCAACTTCATCTCCAAAAATACCAAAACCGGTCTACCCAAATATTCCTTGCGCGATAAATGTATATGTTCTTTCGAGAGAAAGTTTTAGCACTGATATTGATATAATTTAAAATGCATTAATTTTGAACAGACAGCAAAGTTCATAACCGTTAACAACCGGCCGTATTTGATCAGTTAGTTTACTTTAAGGGCTTTAATTCAATAAAATAAAATAAAATATTATTTTTAAGGACGCAGCTACGTTGGAAGTTGGATCACATTGAACGGGCGCGTGTATATGTTCAGCTATCGTAAAGTCACACAGACTGTACGATAAGTTTAAGCTTTTTACAGATAAAAAAAATTAATAATTAAAATCTAGTACGCCGGGGCTTTTCAAGAATGTTGCCGCATTGGAATGCGTTTAATCAGTTTTGACATGACCTTCAAATACAACGCACTGATGAATGCAATTAAAAGTAAGGAAAAGAAAACCACGTGCCCCCATATGTGCATGATAAAAATTAAAAAAAAAAAAATAACACCTGATGATTAATTTATATATTTTATTTTTATAAAAATAACATTCAGCGTATGGAGCGGATGGAGATTATTTTTGGACTTCCGGGATTAAAACGGGGAGTGACGGGAAATTTGGTTTCCTCGGAGTCCAGAAGCCCCTAAGAAGCGACGCGCCTTGGGAGCCAGGCCAGCCAGACAACGCGGGCGGCATCGAGAACGCTGTCGCAGTTTATGCAAATGCCAGTTATGCAAGTTTGTTCGATTTTGATGAGAAGAAGACAATGAGATACATATGCGAGGTTTAAAAATATAAAATGCGATTCTGAAAAACATAAAAAAATACATAATTAAGGCCATCGATGGAACACAAAATAACACAGGTGGAACAGCGGCCAGTGTCGAATGTGCCTTTACTTACAACGTTAGCCAAAGTGAGACCAAGATAAATATTTTGCTAGCTTCCGTAACTCAATAGTTACGTCGTTGATAATTGTAAGGCCAGGGTTTTACACTGAAAAATAATTGGATCAGAAGATCTAGGTTTATCCCCCGAAATTTAAAGCAATCCATAAATATAATTAAAAATAAAATTGGATGGTGCCTTCCACACCATCTATAAAGGCCGACAAGACTTAACTTGGCCTGACCCTGAAACAAGACAAAAAAAATAATAATAAAAAAATGAAAGAGTGCAGACTTTCTATTAGATTTTACCCTCCATTTCTCGCTCCAGCCAAGTGCGTGGCACATAAATCCAGATTTCTGCGAGCAAAATATTAGTAGGATTTTACATAAATAAACTCACAAAGATGCGCATCTAACAATAAGTGCAAGCACAATAATCCAAATAGATAGGGGAAAGTAAATAGAATGAAATATATATATTAGAGCATAGGAAGTACGCTTATAAATCCTATATATTTAGTGTTCTAATATCTTAATTCAAGTTCCGAGTTTTCCTGTCGATATTGATTTAAAAAAATAAAATGTTATTATATAGAAGTATTTTCTTATCAAAATAAATAATTTTCAGTTGAGATTGACCAACTCCTAAATAACACTTATAACTTGGATATTCGATTGAAGGCAAATTATATAAAAAAAATCTTACGAGAGACTATTTGATACTGTTTTTATTTTTGACAGTGCTTTTTGCGGTGCATGGGAGAGCAAGCTGGATTGGTTTTTATCACAGAATAAAAGAGACGCCAAAATTATTTTTAGTGATCGTTTTAGATGGTTAACGGGGTGTACATTGACAGTCAAGTTTTGGCTATTCTGGAGACCATGGCTCAGGGAAATATTAGCGAATTATCACAGAATGTGGCAGTTGCCACTGAATGTGGAATCACGCCAGGTATAAATAAAGGATTGCATGTTTTTTGGTAATTGTAAATATTGGAACTTTTAATATTAAGAGGGCATGGACGAATGCGATGTGGCTGCAGAAATTATAAGATGCAGCTATGACAAATCCCCCAACGTTGTGAGAGGAATTATTACAGCCGTCGATCAATCACTGCCTATGGTTTTATCAATTACATTTATCAAATTTACCATAACATTTTCCTTACGCAGCCTCCGCAGAATGATTTTACTACTTTACAAGGTCAATGTCCTGCTCCAGTGTGCACTATCAACGTGAGTTTTTATTTACAAATCGCAAAGAGATGTAATTTTTCCGTTTTGAAAGTCTACTGCTCAGAAAATAGTCGCTGATTGCACTGGTATTTCATATTATCGTAAATTCACTTAAAAATGCTTCAAAATTTCAAATTTTTACCAGGTAATTGCGTCACGCCTGTGGGGAGTATTTACAATGTATGTGGAAAGAAATGGTACAAAACTTCAGCCATGGTATTTAAATCAAAATCATGACTGTGACACACTGAATTTAATTGTTATTAATTAATTAATTTTAGTATACTGACAAAGATAATTATCTCTGTGCTTGCGGAGAAGTTGGAATGAAATTGGCTTCGTTGGAAAACCCAGATATCTTAAAGTGCATGCAAAACGCCACTGCTGGTAATTTTTATTATACATTAAATAAGAAAAAAATTCATCGTTTTACGTTCATTTTTTTAAAAACTTTTACGACTTTTGCAATATTTATCACCTTGCAAATCGAAAGCTATATTAAAAAAATAATGCGACGTAAAATGCTTCAGAAGAAGGTTTAAGTAACTTATATTCTACACCGTGCTAAACAAAATTGACATTTTTCCTGCAGTATAGTTGAGACTGCCGTGGCACGAGTAATTATAGTCGGGTACTATATTTTTGGCAATGAGATTTAGTTGTGTTGGTTTCTCTCCCATACAATTTTTGCAAATTGATGGTTGTGGCTTGTTGAATTTCAAGGTTGACGAGCGCTCAAAAGAGCGCTTTGACGCGCGCGTAGATAATCAACATATGCTTGGAAAATTATTAATAATTAACTAACATTCGAATACGCATCAAATTTACCTCATTTTACACTATCAAAGACCGACCAAAAATAATTAATTTTTCTAGTTGCGTACCTGGTGTTGGCGTTGTTTGACATCGTTGGCGATGGAAACTTACGTTGGTGCCCATCTAACAAATTATTCTCAGCAGAAGGTTTCTCAAACGTTACATTCGACCCCAGTAATAGGCCAGGATTTATGTTTGTACGATTGCCCTCTTGTCAATTAACTTTTACACCTAATTTTTTGTTGCGTTTGTTGTGCTCTGATTAAAACAAGTATAATAATGCAATGTGTATGAGCTCTCACGCCTCAGTAGTGACTTTTAATGTGACATCATTTTTATCTGCACGCAAGTTTTGTTTAAATACCTCACTTATTTTAACATCATATATTTCGGAAATGTCTTCAAGCAATCCAGCATTTATATTAAAAAAATGAGTTGCCTGCAGCACCTTTAGTGTCATAGTTTACAAAATGTAAAAATTCATTTTTGAATAAATCAAGATCGGTGATTTCTGCGTTCTGCAAATTATTCTCTGCAGGGACCATGGTTTGATGTATAGCTTGAAATACATAATTTCATGATATTTCATCCTTAGTTTGACCTGTAACGCAATATACTGTATATATTTGGACTTAAATTTGGAAAATGTGATTTGATATATTGTTGATAAGAAATAAAGCATAATTAAAAAATATACAAAGGAGTAAATATAATTTCAGTGAATATTGTACAATAATATTTTATTAAATCTACAAAACCTATAAATACAATGCAAAATAAAATCACATAGAAAAAACTAAATTCAACGATCTGTAGATATACACGAAAACTTTGATTATAAAAAAGGATCACTCAAAATCAAAATGATTTAAATTTTGAACCAATTTGATAATATTTATTTATAAATGGTCAGGATTAGGTGCTCGTTTAGGGTGGAAAAATGTATATCTTGATGAAAGTAATTTTAATAAATCTGAAAATTTCTTAATTTACAGACGCTGAAGGCTATGCGAATTTCTTTCGTGAGGTTTTCTGGGAACGAATATATCTTTAAATTAAACGATCTACGACTTTGTTACTTGATTAAAAGTTCATAGCATTTCTTGCACATTAAAATTCCATTTGTATGTTAGAAAGGAATAAGTTTATTATTTAAATCCAGAAAAAAATTCGCTCACGCATATTCTCAATTAAAAACAAGTCAGTGTCTGCAACCATTATTATATAAATTTCATTATAAATAAAAGACAGCCTCTTGGGGCATCAACAGGAGCATTTTTGAGAGATGTGCGCATGGAAATGAGAAAAGACGCGAGTGTGAGTGGAACAAGGAAAGCGTAAGCAGCAGGGAGAGAGATAAAAGGCGGCCGAAAAACGATGTATCAGTTTTATGTGCACAGTAGGGAGTGGAGAATTTGTGTGAGCGTGTCTGATATTATTCGTTTTTTTCCAGCTGAACCGAATGAGAGAGAAGTAACGCCTCGCGCGAGTAGATTTATTTAAACGCCGGCATTCTGCTCCATCAAGCAGCTTCACAAAGGGCACAAAGTTTGAATTTTTCTTTCGATTTTCAAGTTCTGCACGCGCGCAAAACGCTCGCAGCTTTTACAAATATATTTAAATAAAAGTGAGAAGTATGGCAAAGGGAAGCCGTGCAAATCGCATAATAATTGCGTATTGTCTCGTTCTGTGCGGCGCAAATTAGATTGTTAATTAACAAACGCAGTCACAACAGAGACGGCTGGCAATTAAATTTCACAAGCCGGCTGTTTTTCCCTCAGCGAGCAACTCGCTCTGCCATAATTACACTCAGAAAAATAAATACAGAATTCACTCAGTTAGAGCACCTTTAACTGTAATTCATTCATATCTACTGATTTTTTTAATTCAAAACAACCACGCACAATGTTACTTTTACCGAGTGGCTCGAATCACACATCAGTTGGAAAATCCAGCTCCCTCACTCGGTAACATCTACTCATTTCCACTGTTACATGTGTGCTAGTTGAGCGGCAGCAGTAAGAATTACCGCGCGCGCTCCAGCTAGAATATTCTTGGTTGACCAAAAGGATAAATTTTACCGAGCACGGGTATGTTACATGAAACGCGGAGCCACCCTGCCGAACTGTTTGCGTTGTTATGAAGTACTTTTTACCGCGTATTGCTAAGTAAAACGAAACCTAGCTCTTTCAAGCAGGTAAAAGCAACATAAAAGAAGCGAGTTTAAATTAACTGAAAAAAGCCTGCTTGGCACTTAACCTCGTCAAATCAGTAAAAAAAACCTCAAAGTTTGGCGCGAATGGCCGATTTTGAATCTCCAAGAGAAGTGAAAATTTATCTTACTTTTTGTAAATTTATTAATATCAGTTAACAGAACCAAGGCAGGCTCATGAAAATGTTTCAAAAAAATTGTAATTTTTTTATCTACACTATACTTCATCACTAGTTTTTTCCGACTAACTTTTATGCACTTAATTTAGGATTTTCAATATAAATCAACATGAAAAAATCTATTTAAGACATATAAACTTATATTTATGCATTCTAATGCTCCTAATATAGCAGAGAAACATTTTTTTGTAATGATTTAAAAAAAATTATTTTAAAATTTTTACCGGCCGTCATTGCATCTTGAATTAATTTTAAACTCATGAACTTCTTTCTGCAAGGACTACTCGATTTTATTTCCAGCGCGAGCAACACTTTTAGAAAAGCAGTTGGTCATTCTAACTGCTCAGCGCGGTAAAAGTGCTCCAGCTATGCGCGTCTGTATGTCTTTTTAGCTGAGGCGCTCGGTAAATTTCACCGAATATGAGTTAATATAACTGTGTAAAAAAGCAAATTTTGACGCCATGTTGAAAAATGCTTACTGGAAAGCGTCATTACAAGCGTGATCATGGAAGACTCCACATCTAGCAGTGCCTGGCGCTCTCTAAAATTGCAAGTTTTCTGCAAATTATGGAATAAAACTGGAACCAGCAGTGCCAAAACCAAATTGTAAGTACATTTTTGAAGCTTATATTTGGAAATATAGCAGCTTCAGCCCGGAACGAGCGATATAATTGTGATTAAATCTTTGCAAAATGTTTTCAGAGATATATTATGTCTTGGTCTATGCCGTGGTGGAAAAGGAATTCCATCAATCATGAAGTAAATCTGCGCACCCTGGGTTACGAAAATCACTGACCAATGTAAGTTAGAATATAAAATTCCAATTGTTGTCTAAATATTAATAAAAACATATTTATTTCTGTGTTAAAGGAGATGCAACGTCTGCACGCCTGCCCTGTGAAAATTTTGCTGTTGGAAGTAGGAAGATTCCGCACAACGAATTCAGCTTGGCTCCCCACAGAAGATTTTTCTGTTTTGAACATTTTAAGTGCCTGTTTGCTGCAGTTTGTATTAAGTTCATCAGCTATGTTTGCCAAGCCAATTGGATACTTGATCTTCGGCCATAAGTGCTTCATTATACGTTCCAAATTACTGATTTTGTAAGTACAATTTTCACCATACTGTCCTCATAAATTTGTTCTGTTGCGACCTACAATTAGTAATTATGGTAATAAAAAATTTTTGTTTAAAACTTGAATTTACTTCAATTTATTCCTATATTTTCCTTATAAGTTTATAGTTCAGACGAATAACTCTATTTTTCTGTTCCACTGATGTATACCTTGCATTTTATTTTGTCTGCTATCAAAGCACTCACTTTTTGTAACAAAAATTATGTTTCTGTTACAAAAAGTGTAAGTACTTTTGATGTGCAGATAAACTAAATGGGAAGTATTAAATGGAACAGATAAAAACCAGGTTATTTCTACCTGAATGCAAAGAGTAGTATCAAACTGAAAATAAGCAGCAAAAACAGCTGTAAATCAAAGTAAGATCAACCGAGAGGCTCTGCTGACCTGCTGCAATTCTAGCTGAACGCGCTCGGTAAAATGAACCTAGCCGAAATCAAGAGCTTAGTTTCTCTGACTGGTTTGTTTTTTGGCGCTGTGTTATTCTAGCCGCGCTGCTAGGTAAAATTCAACGAGTAATAGTCTAACAATTTCCAACTTACTGCTGCTCGGTAAAAAGAACAAATATCTTGAACTGAGGCAAATTTAACTCTTGAAACGAGTTACTTTCAACTGAAATAAAGTAGAAATTTTTCTGAGTGTAATTATTATTATTCCGCCGACGGCGTATAGCTTTGGATTTGTTGCAGCTCGACTCAATTATTTCTGCGACAAAGCAAATCCTTACAACATCAATGACTTTGTCGCACACAAGCCATTCGTTGCCGCCGCCATGGGATCGACACTGCGTCGTTTTGTGTCGCTTTTCGTATGTATAAGGCACAAAAGTAAAGGTATACACGTGCTGATGCTGACGCCCGCACAGAGGAGCTGTTTATTTCCTCTGCAGTGAACAATTCAACAACGTTTTCGCGCAGCAACACTGCACAATTATTCCGATTTTGTCCCAATGCCTCGTTTGACTGATTCTTAATCGCACTGCGCGCAAATTTTCTCAGAATTCTATTGCGTGGTATTAATCTTTCAGTTGGTAGAAATAATTAATATATGAAGACGGTTCAATAAACCCAAAGCAAGATAAATATTCGAAATGCTGATGGAAATTTAAAATCATTGTAGCAAAACATTGTTTGGATTATATTTCTCTCAAATACTTCCATTTAAAATTTTCTTTCTTTCTTAATCTTGAAATTTTCTTGCAAATTTGCATGAGTGAGGCCGATTGTATTTAATACATCTACTAAAAATAATTTTTTTGTTCCATTAACACTAATTAATTTCAACACGAAATATGAGGTATTGTTTTCATGAATAGCTTTTGTGAATGCACGTTTCCTAATTTCACTTCGTGATCACTTGATGTATTTTTTTGTAATTAAGAATCAAGAATTAACATAGATTTCAAAACCTAATTTACAAAATAGGTATTAAGGGAACATTTCTGTGATTTGTTTCACACACAAGAAAGAATCTAATTGCAAATTTTTGTGAATAAAGAATGATGGATGTTGTCTTCAAAAAATAATTGTTTGTAAGACTTTCTTTCTATTTTTTCTTTCTATTTCAACTATCAATTTTTTTTCCGGAAATGAAGTGACCTGTCTCTTAGTTTGTAAAAAATTAAATTTTAAGCACAAATTTTTCTACTCTTTTCAGTTCAACATTACAATAACGGTAAAAAACAACAATTTTTAGCAATTAAGACTCATGAATTATTAAAACTTTTTTCAAAACTTATATTTCAAAATAGGTTTTAGGCATTATATCTTTGATGTGTTTCATGTTTCACATAAAAATTTTAAATTTGATAACGGTAATTGACGATGAATGTTGTTGTACTTCATTAATTCAAAATTCAAAAATTTATTTTAACTTCATTCAGCACAACTTGATAAAGAATGAAAAACAACTTTAATATGTAAAATAAATAAATAATTTTAATTTTTGGTTCAAAATAGCGCTCTCAAAAAGTAGTAACATATAATTAAACGAGTCATGATTTAAGCGCCGGATTGCTTTACATAATAACACGCACAAAAAAAGATTGTTATCTGAACTTTTCGAGGGCCTAATTAAAAGAAGGCCTGCTGAGAGGAAAGGGACCTGCTGATTGGTGTCGATTAGTAAACACTTTTTATTGCCAAAAGGCATTTCAATGGCTAATTTATTGGTCAATAACACCCTGCCTATATAACGTTCGCATATAGGAGAGAACAATGTAATAAAAACGAGAAAAAAATCCGTCGGCCCTAAACTAATAAAGCAATTGAGATTGCGCTTATAAAAAGCGGCAGCCGTAGAGAGCGTTTATTACAAAAGCCGTGCAGGTATTTTAACTGAATGGACCACATTACTTTTTTTATATCGCGCGTATAAGCGGCCGGGAATATTATTTACCTCGCGAGATATATTTATTGTCGGAGGCAACAATGAAGACAATGAGAGAAAAATTCTAAAGCCGCTGCTACTTCTCTGGCGGCGGCGTCGGACTTGATATGCTGGCGAGAGTTTAACACATGCTTCTTTTAATTCTCAACCGGTTCGTTCAGGCATAAAAAATGGCTTTGACACAAAACACTTGAAGCTAAAACATCGGGAGGTAACAAATATTACATATACGATTTTGTCCGGCGTCGTGTATCAAAATTGCTTGTACTTCTTCCTTGCCACCGGTTTGTGCTTGAAGAGTGACGCATTTATATGCAAATTAGCGCGTCTATTATGATACCTCTCTATTGTCCGCACGCCGGCCGGCTCATTTTCTTTCATTCTTTTCGCATTCTTTTTGCTTCATGTTGCGTGTCGCTCATGCTTTTAATTTTTCATCCGTCCAATTTTATTCATATTTTTATTTTTGGAGCTCTGCCCAAAATCCAAAGTCTGTGAAAAAAATTTCTTGAGCATTGTCGAAGAGTATGCAAATCGTGGTTGTATCGATTGGACGACAAGCTTAAGGGGCGAAAACCCCGACGCTTTTATATACAAAGTGAATAAAGAAAGAAATAAGAATGCGCCGGGCAAGCAGCTCGAGAGGGAGTATTTGCGGCACTTTTTCAAGAGTGCTTTCCCTCCTTCCTAGAACAACGTAATCTTTCAACTGACAAAAGGACACACAGCTGAGGCACTTTTGTTGTGCTGCGGTTTTTTGGGAAATTGAAACTTTTGTGTGTCATTTTGAAAGGAAAAATACACAATGTGCTGTGTGTTCGAAGAACTTTCAAAATTTCTCCTCAAAAGATCCAAAGATCTTTTCATTTTTTCCTTTCAGCAAAACTTTTACCCCTATTCTGAGTTCATAATTTCACGGCCTTTATGAGCGATTTCAGAAATAAAACATATTTATTAGATTACAAAATATTCAGAGAAAAATTGACTTGGAAAATGACTTTTCTTACTCCACAGCATTTTTAGTCAAAATCTGATCCTCCTCATATTTTTAATAAAAAGAATTAGCTGGAAGAAGTAATTAATTGGTGAAAATAAAATGTTTAAATTTTGTAAATCTTCAAAAACCTTTTAAACAACAAAAACGACAAGCATATTTATGAGGTTCATCATCCCAGTTTTAAATAATATATATCATTAAAAGAGGGTGCGAAGGGTTTGAAGTTTTGAGTGGGCGTATATAACACAATAGTTTGCCTGCACTTGTCTTGCAATCGCGACACTATTTGCGGCTGTCACGTCAAAATAATCAAAAAGCAGCTCTCCTTTATGTTGGGGAGAATGATTCGGAGAAAAAACGCCCACAAAGTCGAAAGTACAATTTCCTCGGCGTCGCTTTTTATTATTAAAATGATAAAAATTTTGTCTTTGAAGTTGATGTGCGCACAATACGCGAGGCGAGTTTTCAATAACAGAGCTTCTCTCTCGCACTGGCAGCGCGAGCACACCCACGGCTCTCTCTCTCTCTCTCTCAATTGTGGAAGAGAGAAAACTCGTCTCTCTCGCGGTGGTGTGTGTGTGTGTTTGTAGTGCTTGGTTGGTATTATTGATCAAGTAAATATTCCGCACTCAAACCCATTGTACGGTTAGTGCATACTCTCAATGGAAAATCGTCTTATTTCATCATATCTCGTCAAAATCCTCCCCCCGCGCACCCCAACAATTGGTATTGGCACCACAACAAAACCCCCTTTATGATGCTTCATTCGCCCTCCTTCTTCTTTTCGGCATTGTTGTGTCGGCAGCAGATGCTCTCGCGGATGCCACGTCTCCGAATCACGCTCACGCCGCCAAAAAGAAAAACCTCCGCAGCACCTTCCGTCTCTATGCCGAATCCAGAAAAGGGAGCGTACGAAAATTTAAAATTTTGCAAGAATTTTAAATTATTTTTAATATTTTTCATTTTAATTTGAACATGATTTTTTTCATGGAAATATCAGTGAAGAAAAAAATCATTCGAAAACAAATTATAAAAAATTGAATCGAAAAAATTGCAACAAAATATTAATATTTAAAGCCCAAAACAGCGGCTCTTTTTTATATTATTATTCTATTTCTTATTTTTAAAAATAAGAATCGTGAACTGTGATTGGTTCTTGGATTTCGAGATAATATTTTTATTTTAAAACCAAGCTGCTTGGCCGAGCCAAGCTTTCTTAAATAAAAATTTAAGAATTCACCAATGAGCGTGCCAGAAAATAAAAAATAAGGGTGGGCCAATCAGGGGGATGCGATCACACCCCCAAGTGGAGCGCGAACTTTGAAACTGCAATTGTTTCGACACCTTCTTCGTTCATAAAAAAAGTTATTTACGCTCTTACTTATGATTTGGAATACATAAAAAAAATTATTGTATAAATTATGAAATAAGTTTAGAAATCTTGTATTTTTTTGTCATAATGCTGG